TAATGACTCAATCTAGCATGCCTACATAATGAAGTCTCCATAAAAATTAGGAACTTAGAGTATAGTAAACACAAGGAGGTACTGGTAAAGTGGTGCACCTGCAGAGCACATATGCGCACTCAGCCTCTTCCCCATCACTTGCCCCATCGTCTCTTCCATTTGGCCATTCCTGAACCATACCTCTTTACAACACATACAAGATCTAGCATATTAACTGTTTTCCTGAGTTCTGTGAAGCATTCCAGGAAACTGTCTGACTTGAAGAAACATTGTGGGAATTCCCAATTCTGTCCCACTCAGAAGCCCCTGAGGTCCAGACTTGGCATCTAAAGTGGAGCACTTTTGAAGTATTCCATGATTTACCTGAATTGTTGAATTTGTACTCCTGCTTAACAGTGTTAGAATTATTGAGTTGTAGCACTCAGTACAAGAGTTGGACAATGTGGGAAAAAATCTCCATATTTTGGTTGTGACAGAGTTTTTCAAAGTATAAAGTATGTAGAAAAATAGTATTTGTTTATTTTTGTTTTGCTTTTCTTTTAGATTTTCTGTTAGCACCCATTATTTTGTAATCTTGAATTTTGTTTTTTTCCATGGGATAATGTCTATCTTTTCTTTCTCAGGGTTTTGAAATGTTTTGCTAACCTAAGACTATACCAAATCCAATTTAGTCTCCTTGTTATTTTTCCATCTTGCTAAGAGTGGCTAAGATCTTCCCAATACTATATGGTGAATTTTCTTTCGAGTTCTTGATCATTTTCACATTTCACATTCACTCTTCATCTCAGTTTGATTGAAGTCCAGAGAAGTAGTTTCTCTACCTGCATCATCTGCCTCCTTACAACTTAAAGTCTGAAGTCAAGAATTTATCCACTCTTGCGTTTTTGCCAAGTAAAACATCCAGATGGTGTCCTCATGGCTGAAGTCCTTCACTCCTCTTCACTGTCCTGCAGCGACGGACTTGGTGCACAGAGCCGATAATCATACACGTGGACTACTGGCGGATAGTCATTAGCTGAAGTTTATTAGCAGAATCAGGCTTTTACAGGCTGAGGATCACATAGAATGAGGGAGGAGGGTTTAAGGAATTTACATATCAACAAGAAGGAGTTGATTATGGAAGTTTTCATACACCTGCATGTAGATCCCATCAATTGCTCCCAAACCCAGCCTGGAAAAATCTCTCTTTGTTTTGTAAAAACTAGGCCTATAGATCCAATCAGCTGTCCTTCTGTAGACCCCTGTTTCAAATACCTTCTGCACCACCATTGTGATATTCTTTCCTGAACTATATCTTCTAGCTGACCTGCCAGTTTGGAGGCTATTTTGAACAATTAAAAAAAAATGAAAGAGGGAAAGAGAGGAAGGAAGGAAGGAAGGAAGGAAGGAAGGAAGGAAGGAAGGAAGGAAGGAAGGAAGGAAGGAAGGAAGGAAGGAAGGAAGGAAGGAAGGAAGGAAGGAAGGAAGGAAGGGAGGGAGGGAGAAAGAAAGAAAGAAAGAAAAGAAAAAAGAAAAGAAAAGAAAAAGGAAGGAAGAAAGAAATCAATCACCATTGCTTCCTTCCTTTTCTTTTTTTTTATTTTTTTTAAAGATTTATTTTTATTATTTTTTTATTGGAAAGGCGGATATACAGAGAGGAGAGACAGAGAGGAAGATCTTCCGTCTGATGATTCACTCCCCAAGTGAGCGCAACGGGCTGATACTATGCCGATCCGAAGCCAGGAGCCTCCTCCGGGTCTCCCACGCAGGTGCAGGGTCCCAAAGCTTTGGGCCGTCCTCGACTGCTTTCCCAGGCCACAGGCAGGGAGCTGGAAGGGAAGCGGGGCTGCCGGGGTTAGAACCGGCGCCCATATGGGATCCCGGGCGTGCAAGGCGAGGACCTTTAACCACTTGCGCCACCGCGCCAGGCCCATGCTTCCTTCCTTTTCGACTACAGGGACATCTTCCCTTTGGTATATAGTAAATGGAACACAGTTTTTGGGTTTTTTGCTTTTGTTTTTATTATTATTATTTCTTGTTGTTGTTGTTTTGTAAAACAGCATTACAGAGAGAGAGAGAAAGAGCGAGATCTTCAGTTTTATTTGTTTACTCCTAAATAGTCGCAATGGTGAGGGATGGGCCAGACTAAAACAGAAGCAGAGAATATCATCTGGGCCCTCCATATAGACTCACAGGAATGCAAGCAGTTAGACCATCTTCTGCTGTTTTCCCAGGCACATGAACGGGGGACCCTGGATCAAAAGTGAAGCAGAATTCAAAGTATTTACATGAGGTGTCACCACTGCTCACATAGGATGCAGGTGTTGCTGGTTAACCAGCCACTTGGCAACGCTGGTCCCAGTGAGTCACGTGTTATGATCTTTGGAATCCGTATAGCTCTCTCATTTGAACAAATCTTTTCTTACTTTAGAGAAAGATTTCTTGTTGGCCAAAGTTTGGTTTTAGAAATAACATTAATGGTAAATATCTACTGTGTGTTAACTAATCAGTGTGGGCTGTATTTGTTAGTGGATCATTAATATCATCAAGTATATTTGATATTACCTATACTAAACACTAAAAGCAATTGGTCTGTTATAGGTGTAGTATGCTCCATAGTATCTTTTTGTTGTTGTTGTTGGAAAGGCGGATATACAGAGAGGAGAGACAGAGAGGAAGATCTTCCGTCCGATGATTCACTCCCCAAGTGAGCCGCAACGGCCGATACTATGCCATCCGAAGCCAGGAGCCTCTTCCGGGTCTCCCACGCGGGTGCAGGGTCCCAAAGCTTTGGGCCATCCTCGACTGCTTTCCTGGGCCACAGGCAGGGAGCTGGAAGGGAAGCGGGGCTGCCGGGATTAGAACTGGCGCCCATATGGGATCCCGGGCGTGCAAGGTGAGGACCTTAACCACTGCGCCACGGCGCCGGGCCCGTATCTTTGAGGTAGCTGAGGCTGAGAGAAGTTGAGTCACTTGCCGGGGCTGCAGTCCTTGGTAGTTTAAGTCCAGGATTTGGACCCAGAGTCTTCATGCTCCAAAGCTTGCACTGTTAATCATTGCACTACCTCTTCTTTCCCTTTTCTTTACACCGTTGTAGAAATGAAGCATACCTCCTGAAGACATGCCTTCTTGCATGTAATTTCCCAATTTAGTTTCTTGTTCAAACTCTGGGCATTGATGTACAGACTTCTTAATCTCAATGTTTCCATCTCCGGTTGACTTTCGTTTCATTTTTCTTTGAAACATTCTGGGCATTTTTACCACTTGCTGCTTTGTTTTATCCTCCCTAGTTTCAGGTTTTACAATTGTATCCAAGTGTGTTTCTTCCTTTCTTCCTTCCAAAATTTAGTTTAAAGGCTTCTTAATAGGATGGCAAACCAAGACTGTTCTTTCCAGGCTTTGTGAAAAATACTTTGTGTAATGAGCTTTTTCTTATGTATTGTATGAAACCCACTCTAAGCATGATATAGCCACCTGTTTGCTCCTTGTGTCCAGTTTTCTCAGATTATGACCTTCATTTTAAAAAATGAACAAATATCAACCAAGCCTTCCCTCCTTGCCCAAGTCCTCCATGACAGCTATAGCACTTCTACAATATGGTCACTCATTAGAAATACATATTATGCAAGAATGACAGTGCTAGGGGCCAGCTCTGTGAAACAGCCAGCTAAGCCTTCTCCTAAAGTGCAGGTATCCCAAATAGGTGCTGGTTTGAATTCTTAATGCTCCATATCAGATCCAGCTCCGTGTTAATGCAGTTGGGAAAGCCTCAGAAGATGCCTTAAGTCCTTGGGCACCTGTTATCTCCATGGGAGACACAGAGGGAGCTCCTGGCTCCTAGGTTCAGCCTGTCTCAGCATTGGCAATTGCAGCCATTTGAGGAGTAAAATCAATGGATAGAAAATATCTCTCTGTGTCTCCTGCTCCCTCTCCGTAACTCTGCCTGTAAAATAAATAACTAACTCCTGAACACAGTCAAGTTCCTGGGTTGCATCTCAGATAAGCCTCCATCGGCATCTCTGGAGATGGGTACTGGGCATCAATTGTATTTTAAAACTTTTGAAGTGCAACCACGGTAAGACACACACGCACCCTGAGCTTAGTCTGGCAGTAGCATTCATTCCCACGGGAATGAACAGAAATGGGGACATTTTGTGAGTCTTGGCAGGCTGCAGCTCGCACTAAGATTCATGCTGCAGGAAGACAACATGTCTCTAACTTAGCTTGGCTGCAGCTTTGCTACAGCTTTGCTCACGGAGAGAAACAAGTTCCATGAGGATTCTCCTCTGACTGTGATTAGCACGAGCATTGTGCCTACCTCCTAAGGCCTGAGAATACTCCCAGAGCTTTGTGATGTCTCTGGAATCACCCTCTGTGGAGAGCGCAGCCCGTTTGGTATCTTTCCAGTCTCATACTTTTCTTCCCACCACTCTTGGCACATGCTCTTTTGCTGAGTCTTTGTTTTCCATTACATTGTCACTTTTTTATATATATTTTCTTTTAAGGAGACTTCCTTCTACATTTATTTAAATCTACATCAGAGACACTCTTAATTATATGAATCTTCTTTAGCGAGAAACAATTTTTTATTTAAAATAGACCCAACTAGGAAAAAAAAGAACAAAAATATTATTGCAGACCACTACTTTCTAAAGCTTCTTTTTAGTTGGGAAGAGAAAAATAAAGATACATGAAACGAGCAGACACATAGTCATTATTCCGGTGTCTCAAGCAAGCAGATTAAGGGGACCACACCTTGAACTGAACCTTTCAGGTGAGGAAGGTGCCCAGGTTGACCAGTGAAAGGCCTGCTTATGTCATCCAATATAGAGACTTTGTCTCAAAGAGACTGTGACATCTCAACAGGAAACTTTATATGGAGCAGGACTGGATTAAGACATGGAGTACTTAGTAGGGAGGTAGTATCATTCATTAGTTCATCCGACCTTAATTCAGGATCGTACCTCACAAAAGGTAATAATAGGAAGTACATTCATGAGGTCAATCAATTCTTTTTAAAAAAAATTATGGAATGCTTCACAAATTTTGTGTGTCATCCTTGAGCCGGGGCCATGTTAATCTTTTCTGTATCATTGTGATCCAAAGCAAGCATGAGGTGAATAAAATTTTTTTTAAGATTTATTTATTTATTGGAGAGTCAGATATACAGAGAAGAGGAGAGACAGAGAGGAAGATCTTCCATCTAATGATTCACTCCCCAAGTGAGTACAACGGCTGATGCTATGCCGATCTGAAGCCAGGAGCCTCTTCCGGGTCTCCCACATGGGTGCAGGGTCCCAAAGCTTTTAGGCCGTCCTCGACTGCTTTTCCCAGGCCATAAGCAGGGAGCTGGGTGGGAAGTGGAGCTTCCGGGATTAGAACCGGCGCTCATATGGGATCCCAGGGCGTTCAAGGCGAGGACTTTAGCTGCTAGGCCACCGTGCCGGGCCCAAGGTGCATAAATTCTTTTATTTATTTATTTATTAATTTGTATTGGAAAGGCGGATATACAGAGAGGAGAGACAGAGAGAAAGATCTTCCATCCGATGATTCACTCCCCAAGTGAGCACAACAGCTGATGCTATGCAGATCTGAAGCCAGGAGCCTCTTCCGGGTCTCCCACACAGGTGCAGGGTCCCAAAGCTTTGGGCCATCCTCGACTGCTTTTCCAGGCCACAGGCAGGGAGCTGGATGTCAAGCGGGGCCGCCGGGATAGAACCAGCGCCCATATGGGATCCTGGGCGTGTAAGGCGAGGACCTTAACCACTTGCGCCACACTGCCGGGCCCAAGGTGCATAAATTCTTAACAACTTTGTGACAATATCATAAATCTCTATTGATGTCAAGCAAATCTGTGGGTCCTTTTCTAGAAAGAATGGTAATAAGTGTACTTGTTGGATATGTACATACACATATACACAGAAATATGCAAACAGTTCCTTAAACTTAAAAGAAGTCAGGAATTCCCTAAAACTCATTCAGAGTCCTCAGGTTCATACTTGGTAGCATACTGATAGGTGAAGCTGGCTTCTGTCAGGAAAATTACTCAGACTGCCAAGGATTTCACTCAATAGGAAATATTCCTTCAAGATTTGTGTGTTGCAGTAATGTGATCTAGAAAATTTCTTATGGGTAGATTTTGTTGTAATTGTATCTGTTTCTGTGCACAGTGACTAGTCTACAATAGGTGCTGTTTCAATCCAGTTCGTTAATATACTCATGCAGTTAGGCTCATGTGGTATTGAAAACTGATGTATTTATTAATGTTTTACAGAGGACATAGTTCAATAAAATCTTAATATTTCATAATAATATGAGGTTGCTTTGATACTTCATCTGCATGACCTTGCACAGGAAAGACAATAAAGAGCCATTATAAACTGAGTCAAAAGGGACGGTGTTTCTAACATTTTGTTTTACTTCCTAAGGATCTTAACAAAGCTAGTGTTTAAACATAAGCAGTAACACAATGGAAAGATAGTATCTTACCCACTTGTTCGGCAGCTCTTTAGTGTTCTAATACAAGTTATGTCTTGGTAGAGCTTTGACTAAGAGGAAACGGAAGCGTTCTTCACAAAAATGTTGTGTTGATACAGAGTTATGGCATTCCTTTTTTTATTCGTATCTGCCCTCCCCAAGCTTTGCTGCCATGAGTTTTTTTAATAGAAAATTCTGAAATGTCTACACAGAACAACCAACTTGAATTGTTTTCCTAAAGCCTGCTTTCCTCTTTTTTCTATGGTTTCCTTTGAATGCCTACACAACTGCTCCAGCTAGAAATAATGAAAAGATGAAAGCGGATGACAAGGGAAGGCAGGGTGTTGTCATCATAGTTGTTTCATCCGGTGTTGCAAACATTTTTAGACCACAACTGTCATTGATAGCCATCGAGGTAAAGTAAGGAATTTGTTGCAGTTATTGAGAGTAAGTAGAAAAATCAATTTTAATATAAATCTGAATTCATCATTCAAAAATTACAAAGATTTTTCTGGGAGCCCAAATGACACTCAGAACGTCTTCAACCACATTGTCTAGGCAAGGCAGTTGTGTTTTCTTTCTAGAGCAGGTGGTCTCGGTGTGAATGGACTTACTGTTGCATAGTTTCTGCTACGCATCATTTACACATACAGCATGCCAACTAATTCTCAAAGTGACCCTAGAAAGTTATTCCTGTATTTAAAAAAAGAACCAAAGTCTCACCTTGTTTATTATATTTACTCAAAAGTTACTGAGCTATTAAGTGGTGACCCTTAAGTTTGAGTCCAAGGCAATTTGCTTCTAATATTAGTACCTTGATACACCTCCCTCCTACAGAAGAATCTTTACACAAACATCCCATCTCCTTCCCAAAGCTGTCTTTCGTACATATGTGACACCTCAGTGAGAAGGAAATGTAATTGGCATTATTATCCACTTCTCTGGAGTTCCAAGCAAAATATAAATAAAACAAGATGAAAGGTCCACAGTTTTACACATGAATTTCTTTGCCAGTAACACCAGCAGGTGCTTTAATCCTAGCAGGCAGAAATGATCAAATATCTCTTGATATACAAATGTGCTCATACTGTCTTCCAATATGCAAGTAATAATTTGGATATATGTGTTGGGATATGACCTTGTTGATGCCTTCTTGAGAGATCCAGCAAATTTGGATTGCTTTGCCGTTTAACAGAAGTTGGTTTTCATGTTCTCCATGTTGTCATGGTGAGGCTTGGGTGGAGGTATAAGGGCAGAGCAAAGCATCTTTGTGTGACCTTTGGGAACTACTTGTGACAATAACTTTAAAACCTCTAAAAGCAGCAATAATTTTTCCCACATGAATATGTTGAATGGGAGTCTTCTGTTTATACTGAGCCTTGTATAAGTCAAACAGTGGACTAAAAAAAATTAGTGCATATTTATGGTACCTTTCTAGATTAGTCTTCTCCAGTAATCACTTTCATTTTTGTGCAACTGAAATGCTATTAAGCAACTTTATGTCAATTACTTGCTGTACAGTTTGCTATACGTGAATCTATTTTACCTCTCGTCAGTCCTGTAGCATCTGCTGTGAGGATCATTCCAATAATCAGAGCAGAATAGTGCGGTTGCTATGATAATGACAGGAATTTCTATCAAGAGAAGCTTTAAAATATTACACTTAGAAGTCTTGTTATCTGTCCTTCCAAGAAAGCATAGATGCTGTTTACAGGAAGCTGGATACACAATATTGAGTGAGCAGAACTCTGTTTTTAAAACCGTTAAGGTTGATTGAAGGAGTTTAGATAGCAAAGCTCCTCACTGTAAGACAATTCTGTGGCACAGGAACAAGTCCAAAGGGCATCTGTGCATTTTAAGTTTTAAATCTTAATCTAAATGTAGATTTCCACCAATCAGAACCTAGAGCTAATATCAATGTTGATCATAGAAGGAGAGATGTTTCTAATTAACTCACTTTAAAGCCCTATCTTAATCACTTAGAGCATTCTTGTGCACATCTGTGCTGCAGGAGTAACTGGATTACCTCCATGGTGTGTGTGTGTCTGGGTGTGCGTGTGTGTTTAAAGCAATGCTATAACTCTATCCAAATGCGACTCAGCACTGCTTTAAAGTTTAGAATCAAATGTGTACCTAGTAATATAGTTTAAAAGTTGAAACCCCCTTCTACCTTATGTGTTCTGGTCTTATAAATCGGGCTTGTTTGTGGAAGGCAGCCATTTTGAATACAGTGACACACACACATCCCAGAACTCCTTCCCAGCTCTTCTATAGAACCTAAATTAGCACCAGAACCAGGGCCTCTCATGTGGTTTTGCTTCATCTGACGATGACATCAGTATCTTTCCATTTGCCTTACTTTTATAAAATTGTGCTCTGAATCAATGGTGGTGCTAGTAAAAGAAACTGATTTCTGCAAGTAATTTTTCATTTCAGTAAGTGAGATGATATGATAAACAAATAAAACCTGATGTACAGTGTGACATAAAGCTGAAACAAAATGTTTGATTCTGTTCCTCTGAATGTTCTCTGTGGTTTTTAAGCTCTCTGTGTGTATTGAGCCTGTTTATGGGTAAGCAATGTGTATTGCATGTGTGTTGTTTGTGTATACCTATTCATGGAAGTATAACTCAGGCTCTGATACTTATTTCCATCAATGAATGACCTTGCTCTTGCCTATATTAGAAGAGAGACATTTTGCTTACTTAATAAATGAGAAATATTGTAAATAACAGACTGAGAAGGTTATTCAACTGTAACCCAAGTAAGAAACGCACAACTGCCTTCCTTTACTGTGCAAAGTTGGCAGAGGCCCACAGCTACCTTTATTCTTCCTTTTTAAATTGAAATAATTTGTGTAATTTCCCTACCAAAGTGACACTTGCTCATTGTGGAAAACTATGCCATTATAGATGAAATAGAAAAAAAAAGAAAGCTTATAAATTCATTTTTAGTACACATCACTTGCCACTTGAAGATTTGATGATGGTGGTGAGGATAAAAAAGCTGCCATTTATTTGAGTAAATTCTCTTGGCTGGACACTGTGCTGAGTGCTTTCCATTAATTAGCTTGTTTAATTCTCCCCATAACTCACAGACGTATATATTCATATTAATCCCACCTCCATGGAGGAGGAAATTAAAGCCCAAACGATATTAAGTAAATAGCCTAAAGTCACACACCTACCAGGTTTCATAGTAGCAGATCTCTTTGGATTTGACAGTGATCTCCACTGACTTCTAACACTTGACTGATTAACTATGTGTTTTACAAATTGCCGATATTCCTTACACTTCTGCAGTTTGCTTCTCAGCGATACTTATGAGACTTGCATTATACTGGGAGTGTGTCTTTACTTTTGTAGTTTCTACTTTGAGTTCCATGTTCCAGAAAGCCCTTCCTGTTCCTACATTGTTGTGTGGGAGGGAGAAAAGCAATGCCAATAGTACCAGAAGAAAATAATCACAAGACAGGAAGCCATGGTATCTGCCCAAGTGCTTACCAGTAGGGAAGAAAACATATTTCAGTGAATGTCTGAAAGGCATTGGTAGAAGGGAATGAAACTCCTTCCTCTGCGGCCGCCGTAGAATCCAAACTATTCAGTAAGCCAAGCACCTCTGTCTCCATTTGTGGTTCCAAAGTGGAAAA